TGTTATTTATCTATTAGTTCCTTTACATAATAATAAATTGTTTAAGGCATTTCTGTATAAACAAGATAGTAATATTATGGAGGGGTTTTTTTTGTTTTTTTTCTCTCTTAATAGTACTATTATGTTAATTGCACCCTTAAAGTGACTGCCATTTTATGTGAAATACTATTAGATTAGTAAAGCAGTGCAACTTTTCAATAAGCATTTTTTCAATATACACTGAGTGGCCAGATTGTTATGATCTTTGGATGCATAATCATCTGGCCTCTCAATGTACTTCTCATGAGTACCTCATTTATTTGATATCAAAGATACTATAAGTCATGCACCTAATCAGTTTTCCCCTTTGCACTGGCTGATAGTGTCCCAGCCACCGGGACAGCAACGTGGGAGCGAGGAGACACCTGGAAGGGAATGAGGGAGGACAGGAGATGCAGAGAAATTGAGGCAAGACAGGGTTCTGATCAAGCCTCAAATTTTATTTGTTGCAGCCGCAATATAAGTACACAGGTTGTAGGGGGAAGTTGCCGAGGAGACATTCCAGGGCTGGGAGGGTTGTGTATCAGCAGGATGTGTCTGCAGGGGAGAATACAGCAGAGATTCTCTGGGGAAGGGCGAGTTATCACAACAGGTGTGCCTTGCTCAATGGCCAGATATGCTGCTAGGCATTTATTATAGATTGTTTCTAGTTAACTGCCACACCGCAGCTTGTCACATGAGTTCTGGTAAGTCAGAAACTCAGTGTCTAAGATGGAGGTGTGTCTTTTAAGATGTAGTCACTAATTCTTTTTCGGCTCCCGACATGATAGAAAGCTCAGGGCAAATAGGTGGTCGATCTTCAGCAAAAGCCTAGAATACTTTTGGTACCCATCTGAGATACAAACACACTGAGCGGCCAGATTTTATGCGTTCAGGGATCATCATAATCTGGCCACTCAAAGTATATCAAAAACCTTGAAAATGTTCATCATCTTCACCCAACTTCTAGAAAGTAATTCTAAGAAAATAACCTGGTTTGTTTTTTTTTAAGTTTTATATGTGAAGATATTTATTGTAGCATGATTTACAGTAGGGAAAAGCAGAAAAGGTTAAGTAAATTATGGTATAGCGTATGGCAGAATCATGGAGAGCTTTGTAGAAACATGGAGATTGCTATGCTATAATATTTCTATGCTATGTAAAAAGCAAAATGAGACAATATATCATTACAATTATATTAAAAAAAACAGAAAAAATGAATTGAACAGAATAGAAAGATGTTAACAGCGCTATCTTATGAATGGTGAAATTAACAGGTGATTTTCTTTCTTCTTTATAATGTTTCTGTAGTTTCAAGATTTTCTAGAATGTACATTACTCATACTTATAATCAGAGAAAAACTTAATGGTGTAATGAAAAATTATACCTAAGCAGATTACTGTTCATGCTTATTAATGTGCTCATTAAAGAAGTACTTATTAAAAATGTGCTGATGGGAGGGGTGTGTGTGTGTGTGTGTGTGTGTGTGGTGTATATGTAATTTTTAAAACTACTGTAGTCTTAAATTGAAATGTAGAGTATTAAATGTACCAACACCAAGGGAGTAGGGCAGCAAAAAAGATCTATCACCAGTCAGCCCATTTTATGCATATAGCTACTTCCCAGAAATGGACACATCCCCACTTCAAGTGCTTTCCTCTAAAAGATTTCTATAAAATGCACTTAGGCCTTATCAATGAGGGCATTACTGTTTAATTACTTTAAGAGTAAAATTAATTTGGGCTAAAATATAAAACTAGGTCCCTCATATACAAATATTACTTGGAGCAGGCAAAGCTACACCATTTCTTAGAACCTAAGTCCTTTCCTTAAGGGTCAACATTTTCCTTTTGCTAAGAGTTATGTTTTAAATTTACTGTAAGGATACCCAGTTGACCAGGCAAGTCTCTTATTATAATGAAAAATGAAAGAGCCTAAGAATAGCTCAAGGAAAACCAAGTTGTCAACTTTCTCCTTTTTCCTATCTTCTGCCTCCCACCTCTCCAGCACCAACACACATTCATGGCATTTCCCAAGATTAGGTTCCATTCTACTGGGTAGATCAATCAATACTGATGCCCACATTAAATCCTTTTCAATTGTAGTGACTTTTTGAAAAGAGTATTTTTATCATTTTCTCCTGATTATATAAGAAATCCAGGGTTTTTGTATGTAATTTAATGATACAAAATTGTATCAAATCAAAAGTAAAAGTTGCTAAAATGGCAACCATTCAAAAACAACCTACCTTGTCCTGGCTGGTTTGGCTCAGTGGATAGAACATCGGCCTGCAGAAGGATCCTAGGTTTAATGCCTGTCGAGGGCACATGCCTGGATTGTGGCTTGATGCCCAGTGAGGGGTCGTGCATGAGGCAGTTGATCAATGATTCTCTCTCATCATTGATGTTGCTATCTCTCTCTTCTTCTCTGAAATCAATAAAAACATATTTAAATAAACAAACAAACAAATAAATAAAAATAACCTACCTTAATACAACAGTATATGTCCTTCCATGCCAGAGTCTCTTCATCTTCATATTCACATATGGGCAAATTTGTTTCTTTCATACAAATGAGATCATGCTAAAAATGTGTGTTGTATCTTGTTTTTTTTCTGCTTAACAATATACTTTAGATATCTTTCAATGTCAGTATTATAGATCTATCTCATTTCTTTGTAAGAACATCATCATATTTCACTGTACACATTTAAACCAGGATATATTTCATAAATCCTCTACTGAGAGAAATGTAGGTTTGTCTGATATTTTTCACTATTATAAATAAAGCCGATGGTAGCAATATTAAGTGAACTATTAGTAATTTCTATAACCAGGAGTGGCAGAAAAAGACAAAATTTTGCCCTCAGGACATATGAAAAAAAATGCTCCTAGAAGAGCTTTCCAGGCTTACTCATACATAAGTTGGCCATGTATTTCATTGTTCACGCAGGACACTTTTGAGAAGAAATGGGGAAGCTATTAATGTATAATCTGTGTTAGCCCTAGAGCCATCTAGTTGGGTGCAGCAAGGTCCATGCCAATTGTGGGAGAAAAAGGTTGGGGGCGCCACTTAGGGCCAAGCATGGTCAAGAGGACTTCCGTGTAGGAGGGCTGGGTGGCAAGGGTATCAGAGCCTGAATGGGCAAAGAGAGCACCCATGCATGAGAGTGGTCCCTGGGGGGTCCGAGACTAAGCAGGAGATGAGGACATTCATGCAGTTTTGGTCTATTGTGAGGTTTTGGAGCCCAGTTGGCATAAAGAGGGTGTCCACGCATTGAGTATAGGAAGGGGGCACAGTGGCTGATTTTGGAGCTTTAACAGACTTGAGAAAAGCATCCTTGCAGGGGTTGGGGAGGGCTAGCGAGGTGTGAGGACTCAGAATCTGCACAGGGTGAGGGGTGTGTTCACAAGGGCTGTCAGAACCCATGAAGGGGATGAGGATGCCCATGCATAGGAGGAGTTGCCATGAAGTTGGAAAACTGGTTACATCCTGGGGAAATGAATAAATATATTAGAAACAAAGGAAGCAGGTTTCTCAATGTGAGAGAGGAGAGTTTATAAATATCCAAAACCCATTTAGACTGGAATTAAAGTATCAATGGAAATTCATGGTTTTCAATATCTACACTAATAAAAGACAAAGATGCAAATTGACCATACCTTTGCGATGCCTACCAGCCAATCAGGAGTATGCAAATTAACCAACAAAGATGGCAGGTTAATATACATATTGAGGCACTGAGAGGCTGGGGTGGAATGGGATGCTTGCATCATTGCCATGGCAGCGACAGAGATGTTCCGCACCACCCTAGCAGCTCTGGGCTTCTGGGCAGCATGGGAAGACAGAAAGGCGGCTCCAGGCCAGAGCAAAGGCAGTGCAGGCAGCCAGGGGAAGGAAGGCCTGTTCTTGCATGAATCTTTGTGCATCAGACCTCTAGTCCTATAGAATAAAGATATAATATGCAAATTTACCATCACTCCAACACAAGATGGCTGCTCCCATGTGGTCAAAGATAGCCACCCCCATATGGACACAAGATGGCTACCACAAGATGGCCAGCAACAGATGACAGTTGTGGGTGATCAGGCCAGCAGTGGAAGGCACATAGAAGGGACCAGGCCTGCAGGGGAGGGCAGTTAGGGGCGACCAGGCCTGCAAGGAAGAACAATTTGTTTCTAAATAACTATCCTAGTGTGTATGAAATGGTTTCTTAGTGGTTTTGATATGCTTCTCCCAATGGCTCATGATGCTCAAAATCTTTTCATTGTTGTGGGGTCGAACCCTGGGTTCAAAATAAGACCACTGGAGGCTGAAGATTGATTAAAAAAAGCAGGCAAGGATTTATTGAAAAACTGGCCAGGACTGCTGCGAGAGCACTACAGGCAGGTAGAGTCCATAGGACCGCACTGTTCCAGGTGTAGGCAAGTCTTTTTAAAGGTTCAAACCACAGGAATTTTCCTTTGTTCAAAATTGGAAAGGCTGGGAACATTGGAATATGGCCTTATCATGCCGATAATACAGAAGCAGAACTCAGAGGTTAATCTCTAAAGGTTATCTATAGTTTCTACCCCTGAAGCTACTGAGTCAGTGGGAATCAATCTCCTGTAACTACCCTATTGTTTAAGCAAGTAAGTGAAGGTCGAAGTCAGATACAGGGTTAAAATCCAAACAGCATGGCTCAGTGGATAGAGCATTGGCCTGTGGACTGAAAGGTCCTGGGTTCGATTCCGGCAGGGGCATGTGCCGTGGTTGCGGGCACATCCCCAGTGGGGGGGGGGGGGTGCAGGAGGCAGCTGATCGATGACTCTCTCTCATTGATTTTTCTAACTCTCTATCCCTTTCTCTTTCTCTCTGTAAAAAATCAATAAAATATATTTTAAAATTCAAACAGCAGTTTTTACCCAAGTATGATTGCTACCATATTTCATTCATGTGCTTATTGACCATTTATATATCTTCTTTGGAAGAATGTCTCTTCATCGCTTCTCGGCCTTTTGGCTAAGATCAAGTGTAGAATGTCTCTTCAGATCCTTTGTTCATTTTCTTTCTTTTTTTTTTTTTAATATATTTTATTGATTTTGTACAGAGAGGAAGGGAGAGAGAGAGTTAGAAACATTGATGAGAGAGAGTCATCGATCAGCTGCCTCTTGCACACCTCCTACTGGGGATGTGCCCGCAACCAAGGTACATGGCCTTGACCGGAATCGAACCCAGGACTTTTCAGTCCCCAAGCCGACACTCTATCCATTGAACCAAACCGGTTTTGGCATTCTTTGTCCATTTTGAATTGGTTATTTGTCTTGTTATTATTGAATTGTAATATTTTTTTATATATTCTAGACATAGCCCTTATCAGATATGTGATTCCTTTTCCCCCATTATTTTTCTATTTTTCCTCTCTACATCTCCCACCTAACTTATTCTGACATATTCACAACTTCCATGTAAAGAATTTTTGTGAGTTTACTTGAGCCAAACTGACTACAATTGCCAGAAAGCAAAATCTCAACATATTGAGATAATGCTCCAGAGAATGGTGGTTTTTCACCTAGTTTTATAAATTATTATCAGAGGAGAGTAAGTGAGTTACATGAAATCCATTGGTGATAGATTAGGAAAGTGGGAGAAAGCAAAGGAGAGAACCTCTGGGATTGAATAAAAAGTAAAATGATAGATAAATGCTATTTTTTACTTAGGTGGATACAAGATAATGAATAGTCAACAATTAACATGATAAGAATAACAATGAAGGAATTTGTGGTCTCCACCCTGGCGAATTGGTTGTACCCTGAGGGACTGGGAAAAGGGAAGTTACAAGTTGCCCTGACATTCCAAAGGTATGTTATCATCGATGCAAAAAGACAATAGGCGGTTAAGATCAAAGTTGATCTTTGTCAGGGACCTGACTACCCCCATAAACTGTTTTTTAAAGAAAAAGTTTTAATTTCAGACCATCCTTTATGATACTTTAGGTCTCTGGGTTTGCAAGGCCTTGCCTGCATTAGTCAGGTTAGCATGTGGCCCCTTTTCGTCCACATCTAGGATCTCATTTTCACCAGGTGGTTGGGAGAAAGGAAAACATTTTTGAAGTTATGTACCAACCTTCGCGCAATTCTTATTAAGCATACCAGCTGGTAAGATAGGTTTTGTTTTGTTTTTAATCTTCCAGAAGATTTAATCTTACAAATTTAAAGAAGTTATGCACCTTGTTCAAGGCCTGTCTCATTGTTACATGGCAGAGCCTAGATTTAAATGTGTGTCTTCCTACAAAGGAAATATTTCACCATAACTAGCTTTGAAATTTTATTTCAATAATGTAGCTAAATCTAAATAGTTCCTTTATTCAGAAATGAAATACAACAACAAAGAATATGGTAAATTCTATTTTGGTGTTACTTTAATGTTTTAAACATCACATTAAATATCCTTAACTTCTCTGAGTTTGCTCATGGGATATTTTCAAGTATTTCTGAGGATAAAATTCAAAATATATGCATATATACATATATATTTCATATATATACTAAAACTTTTTTCTGAAAAATATTGCAATATCATTGTCACATAGCTCAGTTTTATCTTAAATGATACAACTTGGAAATTGGCTTCATTATCTCCCAGGGTGAAAAAAAAAAACCACACACAAGCCATCTTTAATCCAGCTCTATGAATTTTCTTGCCCACTTATTTAACTGTTCATTTCAGCTTATATAGCAATTGATACAAGCTGGCATTATATAATGATTAAGTGGTTAATATGGTCCTATAAAGGTAAAAAGGTTTTATAAATTTTATATTCCATCATTTCTATTTCTTAATATTAAGTAGCTTTTCATTAGTAGTATTCTCAGGAAGTCAGAATGGGCCATCAGTCAATTTAACATTAAAATAATTTTTGGGGGGTTCTTGGAAAGCAGGAATGTCGATGCCAAGGGCAACAAATGAAAAACCAGAAATCTCATAAATCCCCCTTTTCAAGGGCAAAACTACTCTATGTAGCTTTTGGAAGAATTAGGTTGTGGACATCTGATAAAAAATAAATGGGATAAGAAATAAAACCAAAAGTGGACTGGTGTTGAATTGTTTCTCAACATTGGGGAGTACATTTTCTATCAAGAAACTCATAAAGAATGGATAACTTAGCGTAGCTCTCCTAACCACTTTTTTTTTTTTTTTTTTTTTTTTTTTTTGTCCTAGCTTGTGTTAAAAGCTCCCAATATTTGGTAATACTTCTCTTTTTTGCTTTTCCTCTTTTGGAAATACTTTAATATATATATATATATATATATATATTTGATTGATTCTCTACAGAGAGTAAGAGAGAGGAATAGAGAGCTAGAAACAGCGACCAGCTGCCTCCTGCACACCCCCTACCAGGGATGCCTGCAACTATTGTACATGCCCTTGACCAGAATCGAACCTGGGACCTTTCAGTCTGCAGACCGATGCTCTATCCACTGAACCAAACCGGTTTCGGCGGAAATATTTTTTGATTGCTAACAATAGTAACCTTTTCTTGGACTTAACTAAATCAAATCTATTTAGGCTTAATTCTGAATTGTCTACAAGTCAATTACTTGGCTAAAGGAAACTCTAATATGACTTCATTGTTCCAGCTAATATCAATCGGCAAAGCTGGCCCTTTAATTTTCCTGTATGTTACAAACTCAATATACTTACAATAACCTGTGCTAATATCACTCATGATAAATTTATCTGTCTTGCCCGCAAAAGGTCTCACAGACTTTCCATAGTCCTAGCGTGATCAAAGTTCAAACTCAATTCATCAAATTACCTGCCAAAACCCCAAAGAAATGCATGCCCAATGAACTGTTAAACCCATTAGGTTTGTATTATTTAGCTCAAGAATACTGAGTAAAAGTTAAGTAAAAATGTGGCCTTGAAAATATTTTAAAGTATTTAGCTTGTTGCTGCTAAGTATACACATTAGTATGTTAAAATAACTGCAAATTGTTTCCTGTAAATGTAAGGAAGTCATAATTATGTTGGTAAATTGCTCATTTTGCAAAGCATGTGAATTCAGACCATTATAGGAAGGCATTAACATAAATTAACAGAGCAATGGTTAACCATGTTTTTGTAACTTGGTGAATTTTTAAAGGCTTGTCACAAGTTTCTGAAGGAATCCTACTCTCTGAATTCAGTTTCCAATACTTGAACTTCACGAAGTGCAATTGTCCGTGTAGAAATTAGGGTACGGAAGGGCTGACTAAGTCAAGTCTGGTTAAGATTTTGTATTCTCAGATTGTTGACATCACTAGTCAGTCCTTCTAGACTCATCTTCTCAGCCCTAGGTACTCACAAAGTACACTGAGAAATTGTAAGCCAATGATTACAAAAACTAGCTTTGGATGACCTTATTATACTAGAAGGGCTATGCTAACTTAAAAAAAAACATAAATAAATAAAAGAAAGAAAGCAGACATTGGAAAACTTAGTCTTATGCATACTCATTAATAATAAATATGATCATGATATCAAGATCATTAGACTTCAAGTGTCACCGTGCTTCTATTACCCTGGAGAATACGACTAATGTTTCTCATTTGCAACAGACTACACTCACAATAATAGGTTTGAGCTGATTGAAGATGTTATTTTGAACACATGGGTCTTAGGCAAAATATTCTCTTTGCTAAACTCTGGAATTCTCAAGAGTTTTGAGTTTCAGCACATCCAGTACTGCAGTGCTTTGCAAACTGTGAATCTGTATTTGCAATTCTAATATTGCATTAGCATGGATTGACATTATTACAATAAGGGCATCCCTGCTGAAGATTTATTTCATCCTGGGAATCTGCCTCTAGAGATCTCAGATCTTCACTTGTCAAAAATTACTGTGCATCCATGGAGTTTTGAAAAGTAAGGGCAATGATCATATTCTGAAATACATGTGTTTCTAGTGTGAGCCTGTGATAACACATGGTGCAGTCTAGGTACTGAGGTAATTGTTGAACGGGCCCGATTTCATCAATAGCTATCTATATTTTGAAGTGTTTGAAGAGCAATTTAGAGCTCCGGAGAGCATTGCTTGAGGACATTTCAAAATCTGCAAGAAATTGGAATGGCTCATTTTTTTAAGAAAGAGCTATATTAATATAGAGCTATAAAACTATCGGTGAAAGTTGCCGTTGTAACTGCTTTATTTTTCTTCATCTTTCCCAATGAGTATAGTAGCTTTCTGTTTACACTGACTTCTTTATCCTATCAAGGAAAATGCAGCCTTATAAGAACTTTATTTTGTCTTGTTATAGCTCTTAAGTGCACCAGAATAAATGTAAATGATTTCCTGTTGACTTAGGAAGTCTTTTCTACTTACTTATCAAGTAATGTAGATTTACAGGCTATTTACATGTGAATCTTTCAAATGATATGCTTTGACTCTCACATCAAAACAAAATTTTATTCAATTATGTGCCTGCCCATACTTTTTAAAAAGTATTGTGTCCAGCACAGATATAATTCATATTTTTTGTGGTCTTTGCATTTTTTTTTGCTTCTTCTTCTTATTAATTCCATCTAGATATCACTAAATTGAAATTTAGTTGATTTTGTGCCATCACTGTGGAAAAGATCAGGAGAATTCTGTTGTTATTATTATGAAATACATAAACACAGAGCCATTTGCTATGGTGAAGTCACATAGTTGAACTCTGGTACAGTTAGTTTCTTCATTCTTCTATAATTTTTATCTATGGAGCACTAAATCAAGTCCTGGGGAAGTAGTGTTTGATACCTGAGCTTTTTAGATCTGCTGGAGATCAGAATTAAGTCAGGTTATAACCAGAAAGAGACACCAGGTTCTCACATCATTTCAACACACATAATCAATGTTAGAAGTAGAAAAGGCTATGTGGAGACCCATATGCTTTTTTTTTTTAAATTCCATCGAATAGTGTGGGGATTCTGTAGGACCTGATCACAAGGTCCTTTGTGGTCAGGCTGTTATTGGTGCTCTTCTGAGAGTTTCACTCCTCGGGCTCGGAGACATTCTCAAAGGTCTTTCCTTTGGGCCGCAAATGCTTTCCTGGTTCCTTCAGATGCCTCACGACTCAGGGGTTTCTCCACCAATCAGCATCTCTGCATCCAGGACCACACCACCACCACAGGAACGACTCTTTTCTGTCCAAAAGTTGTGT